CAATGTGTGAAACTGCCAAACACAGAAGGGAGAAGGCGGGGGACCTGGCGATGTGTTCCAGGGCACAAAGCAGGGCCGAGAGGGGGGACAGTGCATCTGGGGGACAAGAGAAAGGGATTCGGCACACAGGAGCAGCCTCTACTCCAAAGTTCCTTGGCCCTTCTTGTACAGACACCTCCCCACTGATCACGGTTTTAATGCTATTTGTTAACATTATGACCAACCTGGAAACGTGAAATTGCTTCCTGTTTTGTCTGCTGGTACTTAACCTCCTCGCAGCTGTTCTGTTCCTTTGGAACCCATTCCACCTTGTCTCCTTCCACCCAAGGTCCAGTGTACCGACTCGGAATCCCCAGTCTGTTCTCCAGTCCATGCGGAACAGTTGTATCCTGAAGCTCTGCTAGCTAACCGGGCTTCTGCTCTTTGTTCAACTCTCAGGCAGTAAAACTATTTTGCAAAGTGAATGCCTCTCCCTGCCACTATGTTGCTTGTGTACTCTGAACTTCATTACAGGGGTTGGGGGAGGGGGAGAGACTGGACTTTGCTTTTCAGTTTGCCCAAGTGGAGTGCACTGCAAAGATCCTGAGGCTACATCCAATCTAAGGAGTGTTGTGATGAGTTAAGAATGTCGGCTCTTGTCACAGGAATGAAATGTGGCTGCACGTGTTCTTGGTATTTGCTTTCTTGGCCTTGTGCACTTGGCTTTGGATCACCTTATTCTGACCTTGAGTAGCTGATTTTCCCTGGTACCTCCCATTTTAGTCTTTCTTATCTTGTTTTCGCCTAGCCCAAGAGAACAATGAAAGAATAGAATGTTTTCTTCTGCAGAAGGAAGTGAGCTCCGATTTTGAGAGGATGACTAGGCTTTGCCTTACTCTAACTCATTAGAGACTTTTAAAATCATGTGAATGTAAAATCTGATCCTGTGAGAGTTAATTTATAAGCAGTTGAGAAAAAAAAACGGAGAGGAAAATAAAAAGTCATCCCCCTCGTCACTCAACTTTTTTTACCATTCAGAAGCTTGCAAGGTGTTAAGAGTGGAAGGGACCTTCACTGTCATTGATTGAGTCTGTCTCTCCTCCTTTGTATGTAGAGGAGACTGCATATTCAGAAAGGGGCTGATTTGCTCACACAGTGGCAGGGATGGAGCTGGAGTGCGAATTGCCTCTCCTGAGCCTGTGTTCTATCCATTCCACCATCGTTCTCATGTTGAACCCAGGATTAACCTTCTAGTGTAGATGGCTAACCTATTTTCTCTTACTGTGGGTATGTGTTAGCTCTCTAGCTAGGATAGAAGCAACTGGAAGGCAGTCACCAAGCCTTATACTTATAAATCCATACAACTATGCATATTTAGAGTATATGCTTTGTACTCTAGAGTTTATGAGTGAGTTCATTAAATGTATCTTGAATAGACCAGTGCTCTTTGTTCAAGAATTAATGACTTAGGACCAAAGAAGGGCTAAGGAGTTACTAAAGACAAAGGCTTTTAGTAAGCTAAAGGTTGACAATATTTGCCCTGACCAGTGTGGTCAGGGTATCGTCCCATAACTGAAAGGCTGCAGGTTCGATTCCTGGTCAGGGTTCATACCTAGGTTGTAGGTTCGATTCCCGGTCTGGGCACATACAGGAGACAGTCACTCAATGTTTCTCTCCCTTTCCCTTTCTCTAAAAGCAATGAAAAAAAAAGTCCTCAGGTGAGGATTTTAAAAAATGTTGACAATATTTATTGTTGCAACCAAGTCAGAAGGGTTCTAATGAATTGATGATCTTCTTGAGGATTATCTTGACAATTAATTTGTCACTCATTCACTGAGGCCTGCATAACACAAAAGAGACTGCCTGAGTAAGTTAGCTGGGAAATGTTCAGTGGTAGGCTGGGGGTAGTTTTTAATGTGAGCATACAGAGACATTCTCTGGGTCTCTTGCATCTGGGCACAGTGCCCCGGGAGAGAGGAAATATGATATGGCCGATGATAGGAGTATTGCCGTGCAGATATTATTTCTAGAGAAGTCTATCAAGTAAACACATCTCTTCCTGTTTTTACTTTTTTTCAAGGGAAATGTTCGGGCACCTTGCATTTTCTTTGGGTTGAGTTGCCCTGTGTTGGCGAATGTGGCACAATCGGAGCTGGAGGTGAAAGAGCAGAGGGATCTCCTTCCTTAACTCCTGAGCACTCTGTGGAGGAGTAAAAGCCCTCTGGATGCTGCACAAGGAAGCTGTTAATGAGCTTCTTGTTTTGCTCCAAAGACTTTTTAATTGATTGTTCAATTCACTTTAACGTAGAGGCCTGCCTTGGCTTTGATATGGTGTAAAGGGAAGCAATTCCGAGAGCTCCGTGACAGACATACATACCAGCATCTGTTACTGTGTGTTTTTTGCTCACTCCCACTTGCTTTCCCACATCCACAGCCCTGCAGGTGCCTGCCATGGGGAGCGTCTGCCCTGTCCTTTTGGTCCACGGTGCTTGATCTGCACTGTTTCCAGGTGGCTTGGCCCTCCTCTGAGACAGACATCAATTGCAAAGATCAGAGTGGGCTGGCTTTTGAAGAGGTTTTTCAAATTCTGCTTTGCAAACCTGCTGGGACATGTGGTGTTCCTTTCATGTTTCCATTCCATCCCTCTCTCCAGAGGGCAAAGGGTGGCTCTTCATGTAACCGGAGCGGGAGAGGGAGGACCAAGGGGCTATGGATGTTGGTTGCAAATTCATTTCAAATTAATTAATTTCTACATTTTTTCATCACAGGGCCTCTAACAGCCATTGTATTTCCTCAATCTTGACATTGCCCTAGCAAGGCTGCCAGTGAGCAGGAAGAATAATTTTTGTATACTCACAAATGAAGGAACAAAGGAAAAGTTCTCATTCATCGTGTGGATTGTATTAAGTACTCTTCTAAGTTCTTTCCTTTGTACATCGGGTCCTGAGTAGTGGCGTGAATAACCCGGGGGAAAGTATTAGTAATCTAGTTCATCTTCTAGTGATATCTCCTTACACTACCATAATGCATTTATTGACTACCCACTGTATGCCCGATGTAGGGGTTTCAACCACACCGTTTCCAAGTCTTACAACCCTACAAGATGTTGTGTTATCTCTGTTGTATAGATGGGGAGGGAGGAGTACCCCTGAAACTAAAATGTAACTAAATGCCACGTCAGGTATGCGTATGCGAGAGGCCTTTGGTCTGCTGAGTCTGAAGTCTTTTCCCTTTGCTCTATGCCAGGGGCCACAAGTGAGCCAGATTTAGCTTGTCACCTGTCTTTGTTTTATTAGGGATGGGACCACAGCCCTTTGTTTACATTTGGTCTGTGGTCGCTTTCATGTTATAATGCACAGCGAGGTCCTTTTGACGGAGAACATGTGGCCTGCAAAGCAGAAGATATGTTAATATCTGGACCTTTCAGAAAAACGTTGGCTGACACTGCTGATAGTGGCCACGTGTTTAGGTAGCAGATAGGGGAGTTTTCTGGCTGCGCATCACGGGTCTAAAACCCAGAGCCTCTCATCGCTCTGTCTGCCTCGCTTTCTCCCCACTTTTCATTTTCCTTCGCCGTGTAAATACTTTGGTTGTGATTTTCTGTGGAGAGTAGTGGCTTCCACCTCTGAGTCTAAATGCCAGCTGGCAATGGTTTGATTTACTTATTTAGAGATTTCCTGTCAGAGTCTTGTAATAGATTGTTTGAGGTTCTAAATGGTTTTGTAACACGTACGTCTTTCAGCGGGGCTTTCTTAAGGGGAAAACTATCGGATGATGTAACAGGAGGGTGACTTCGCAAGTTCTGCTGCTTTCATTGTGAAAGGGGACACGTCCCTGCGGTTGTGCCCGATGCTAATATACTGTCACGTGGACAGATTCCAGCCAGGGTGGGTTTGAAGAAATATTATTATCAGTTTTATGCTCCTCAGGCTTATTTGGAGGTTTGCCTAGGACAGGGGTATCAAAATCATTTTCACCAGGGGCCGCATAAGCCTTGCAGTTGCCTTCAGAGGGCCGAATGTAATTTTAGGACAGTATACATGTAACTACTCCTTAGTAGTTAAGCAAGAGCTCAGCACTGCTGCTGGGTGGAAACAAGGTGCGGGGCCAGATAAAACAAGGTGGAGGGCCGGATTCCACCCTCCAGTCTTGTGTTTGCTACCCGTGTCCTAGGAGGAAGTTAAGGTGTAAGGCAGCAGTTTTTAAATGTCAGTATATATAAGGAACACTTGGGATACTTACTTAAAAAAAATGTAGATTCCCAGACCCTCAGCCTAAGAGATCCTGAATCAGCAAATCTGCCCTAGGTGCTTCTGAGGCTCACGGGCCACAGTTGGTTTGGGGAGTAGAGGCGTGGTTTACTGTGAGGATTCTGGGTGATTCAAAGAAAGATATTACCCATGACTCATTCTTCGTTCTGGCTCAGTTTGTCTTGGAACATGATGCTGGAGCTATACATTTTAAATGTTTACTTAAGTAAAGCATAATAGGAAAATCATGTTGCTGTAAATGTGTTTGAGCTATTCTTTCTTCCGCTGCCTCTAATAATACAAGTGCATTTTACGTTGTATGTCGTACATCATAGCTATAGAGCTCCTCATTATGTACATCTCATTTGATTTTAATGTCAACCCTTGAGACAGACGTGGCAAGTAGTATAATTTTCATGTATCAAATGAGAAAATTGAGATTGAGAAAACAAGTGATTTTTTTTCTTAATAGTACAGCTAGCTAATAAGCAATCCATCCCAAATTCCCATACTCTGCTTCTAATTTCTGTTCCTGCACCAATTTGTTCTTATGACACCTATTTTGATTTTTAGAGAAAAATATAATCATTTATAACTTCATTGCCTTCTGAGAGGAAGGGTGAGCTGTCCATAGTTAAATGCGTGGTAATCACTCATAGGTCACTCAAGGCAGAGGGAGGTGATCATAGGTGTATACAGATTGGCGAATCAGTTGTCTTTATAGAACATCCCTAAACATGGAAAAAGAAATCTCTCTCCTTTCTTGGACAGAAACTGTATAAGACGTGTCGCGAGATGCAGGAGCGGATCATGGACCTGCTTGTGGTGGTGGAGAATGAAGACGTAACTGTTGAGCTCATTCAAGTGAATGAGGATTTGAATAATGCCATCCTTGGATATGAGAGGTGAGCGGGCAGTGCGCCCTCCCCAGCCCTACCCCGAGTCTAGTTTCACCACCAGTCACTCAGCATTCTTACCAGAGCACCTAGAAGGTGAAAACCCAGGAAGATCCAGGACAAGTTCAGAACACGGCTGCCCAACCTCCCAAGATAGGGGATCTTGGTCCTGGCCTTCTGGGAACTTGTGATGTGGCTGGCAAGAAGGAGCCGCACCAGGGGTGTTGTTGGGGACTCTCGGGCAGCGTAAACCCCTGGCCTATGAGCGGGACCTGGATCTCATTCACTGACTGTTGTCTGCACCAAGCGCATCATAGGCTCTCAAACAGATGAAATGCTATCAGCAAAGCATCTCGGTAACAGTGAAATTGACCCTAAGCTTGAGATGGAGAAGAACAGGAAAAGAGAAGAGGGGAGAATATTTTATACGGAGAAAATAGTCTATGAAAAACCAGAGCAGCCAGTGAGGACATTTTTTATAGGAACATAGATTTAAAAAATTTGTTTTCATTCAGAAAAGAATGAAAGGAACATTTTTAAATATTCATAATTTTATCACTAATATTTTAGTTCTAAATTTTTTATATTTATGTTTCTATAGAGAACACCTACTTTATTTCTCCCTTGATTTTATTTACTGCATAACAAGCCTTGTGTATCCTGTGTTTCTAAATGCTTTCGGGAAACCTTTTTTTTTTGTTTTGTTTTTAGAGAGAGAGAGGGGAAGGGAGGGAGAAAGGGAAAGAAAAACATCAACGTGAGAGAGAAACATCAATCAGTTTCCTCTCGTACGCACCCTGACCGGGGACTGGGAGTCGAACTGGTGATCTTTCACTTTGCCAGATGATATCCAACCAACTGAGCCACACTATTCAGGGTGGAAACCATTATTTTTAACAGCTGCATGCTGCATAATGGCCCATGTTTCTCTCACCGTTCACTCGTTAGGGATTTACATTATTTCTAACTCATTTATCCATTCATCAAAAACTGTTCTGCTAACCTTATAGTAGGGAACCACCTTAAATCATAAATATCCACACTTGGAAATTGAAATAAATGCCCTGAAACAAAAGTACAGGAGGTCTATTTGGTGAGAATCGCAGTGGGACCCAGGCCAAGTGGGAAGAAGGAAGCTGCTCTGAGGAAGTGCCATTCAAGCTGAGAACTACGGGGCGAGTGGGAGTTGATCAAACGAGGAGCAGGGCCAGAGCAGGTGCAGGGTGCAAAGCCGTGGGAAAGTGCCCGAGGCCTGGGGGCAGCGTGCCCCCGGAACCCAGCCCCGAGGAGCTGCAGCATGCTTTGATTGACAGGTGGCTTTTTCTCAGCCTGAAAACATAGCTCCAGACAAGTCTCCTGATCTCTGTCCAAACCTCTCCCTAACCCTTCCTACTGTAGAAATTCTGCCGCCTCTGAGATTCCCACACTTTTCTAGATCCATGTTGCTTAGTGAGCACGCAGTTGGCATTTTGGGTGGGACAGTGTTCTCCCCCCACTCACTAAATGCCAGCGATTTCCTCCTAAAGAGGCCTTTGGAGACACCCTCAGGAGAACCGCCTCCATTGAGAATCACTGGGAATATGTACAGTGACTGTCTGTCCAACCAGCTGCTGAAGAATGAGCACCCTGGCAGAATAGTCCTGGATCAGATCTTCATGATTCCAGACAAGTTGTCTACATTTTCTAAGACTTAAGGTTTTTTTCCCGTTTGTTAAAGAGAATAGTACTACCTATTTGGAGGGATTTCTTTTGGAAATTAAATGAGATAATACATTTAAAAGCACCTAGTAGAGTGCTTTTTAAATTATTAAATTTCACTTCTTGTCTTGCTACTCTCTGTTAACATTTCCCTGAGCCTTTTAATTTATTGACAAGCCCCCCCCCGCCCCACACTGATTATGAATGAACCAAAAGAATCAGTGAAGTAAAACCCATAGCCATGAATAGCTCTTTGCTTCACTGTAGCGTGTTTACCGCCTGTCAGCAACAGCAGCCATTGATATAAAGAGACGACGGGCATCAACTTGAGGCTGCGAGCCCCGTGATCGGTGGTTGCTCAGCTCCAAACAAACTCCCAGTCTTTTGCCCTTTGTTTTCTCTGGCATAAATCTGTGGAAGCTAAAAAATACCTAAGGAAAACCACGTGGTTTTCCATAGAGTGCTGCCTTCTGGTTTTCATTTTGGAGAATTCTGTTACAGCCCATAAGACCAATGACTAAAAGCCTCCTCTGAAGGGGATGTGTGTTTGTTTGGTCTAGATGTCAGATTGCATTATGTCCACGAACGGCTCATTCTGATTCAGCTTCGAACCACGTGAGCCAAAAGCAACTGCAGTCACGAGACGGAAACCCTAAGTCTTAAGATTCCAAGTGAAATTCCTGCCTCTTGGAGAGAGACATCTGGTGTATTAGTTCCCTATAGCTGCTGTAACAAATTATCGCAAACTCAGCTTAAAACAATATAAACTCGCTACCTTACATTTCTGTGAGAGTCTGAATGGGTCTCATCAGGCTCTCATCAAGGTGTCAGCAGGGCCACCTTCCTTTTTGCAGGTCCTAGTGTCTCCTCTTTGTTCCCTAAACTTGTGCAGCTTCCCGAAGCTTCCCACTTCCCTTGGCCCATAACGCCTTTCCTCCATCTTGGAAGCCAACAGCATCTAGTTCAACAGTCTCAGCCTTACCAGTACCAGGGACCGGTTTCATGGGAGACAATTTTTTCATGAACCGGGATCAGGGAGGGATATCTTTATAGCCTGCCATCAGGTGCAGCTTAATTGTCCCTCACCACTCACTTATAGGGTTTTGATAAGAGTCTGCAAGCAATTCGTTTATTATGGTTTGTGCAGTCCAATCTCTCTGCTGATGATAATCTGTGTTTGAGCCGCTCCCCAGCACTGGAATCACGGCCTCAGATCATTAATCATTAGATGCTCATAAGGAGCATGCATCCTAGATCCCAGGCATGCAAAGTTCACAGTAGGCTTCGTGCTGCTACGAGAAGCCAATGGCACCTCTGATTCGACAGGAGCGGAGCTCAGGCAGTAATGCGAGTGCTGGGCAGCAACTGTAAATACAGATGAAGCTTTGCTCGCTCGCCCGCCGCTCACCTCCTGATGTGCAGCCAGTTCCTAACAGCCATGGACCAGTGCTGGTGGCCTGGAGGTTGGGGACTCGGGTCTAGTAGAGTCCTTCTCACATCGCATCACTCTTGCTTCCTCTCCTGCCTCCCTCTTCCACATTTAAGGACCTTTGTGATTACATTAAGCTCATCCACATAATCTCCAGGATAATCTTCATGTTGCAATCAGCTCACTGGCCACCTTCTTTCCATTTGCCACCTAACTGAACACATTTACTGTCCTATTGATTAGGGTTCGGGGATATTTGGTGGGGGGCATCATTCTGCTTATCATAATCTGTCCTCTGGTTCCCAAAGATTCATATCCATCCCGTATGCAAAATCCATCCACCCTGTTCCAGTGTCCCTGGAAGTCTCCACTCATCACCTCCAGGGAAGAGTTGTGCATATAAGGAAATGGAAATTTGTTCTTAAGGCTTGGTCCGTGAAGGGCGTTCAGACCCAACACATAACTAACTAGCACCTAAGAGGCCAGTGTCATATGTCGATGGAAACAGAAGACATGTGTTTTAGAAAGGGAAAAATCCTTAAAACCAAGTGCACGTTCAAATTCACTGTAAGCTTTTAGACTTCAAAGTGTTTAGGTTCACAGAGTCAGTGTGTTATAGTATTAACACCATGTTTCCAAAGCCAGTCTTAGTTTGCAAAGCATTTCCACATTCACCCACCTCTATTATCTCCTGATACCTTGCGCCTGAGAATAACTTTCGGGGGAAATGGTTCAGATGTCACTATTCTCTGTTAGCAGACGGAGAACAGAGGATCAGAAGTCACATCCATGGTCATATAGCTACTTGATACAATGCTGATACTTGAACCTTGACTTCTACCTTTAACTTTACTGTTCTTTCTAACCCGTTATTTTATTTGTTTGTTTGTTTGTTTAACTGCTCTTCCTTTACCCCCAGTGTACGAGCAGCATAAGCTTTTTTTTTAAGATTTTATTTATTTACTTTTAGAGAGGGAAGGGAGGGAGAAAGAGAGAGAGAGAAACATCAATGTGTGGTTGCTGGGGTCCGTGGCCTGCAACCCAGGCATGTGCCCTGACTGGGAATCGAACCTGTGATGCTTTGGTTCGCAGCCCATGCTCAATCCACTGAGGTACGCCAGCCAGGGCCAGCATAAACTTTTAAAAGCTATAAAAGGTTAGTATTGTTAGTAGGTATCAAGTGTCTTATATAAATGAAGATGAATAGTGAAAATTGAATAAGTGTATTTGGATTTTTTATGGAAAATCATAATGGCAAAATTGAGAACACTTTAAATATTTGAGAATAGTAAGAATAGTTAAATATGTGGTATGTTCATAAGATAAAATATGCAGCCTCTAGAAATTGTATTTCTGAATAACTAGAAAAATGCTTGCACAGTAATTGAATTCAGATACAGAATGATGTAAAGCATAGTTTTAACTAAGTTTAGAACAGGTTAATTTGCAGAAAAATAAACTGGAAGGAAGTACTGATGTTAATGATTGTTTCTCAGGTGATAGAAATGATAGGGACCATTTCTAGGTGGTGGAATTATTCTTATTTTTAATAGCTTTTCATTTTTGAGCAACTCCAGACCCCTAAGCCCTTCAACAAAGAGAAGGAACAAAGAGATAAAAGATGAAAAATCTGGAGGGGCAAAACCGTTTTTAGACCTGGCGCCCGAGGACATCGGAATACTTGGACACGAAAGTTCCACTGTCTGTAGGCTCTGCTACCAGTACCAGTGTTGGGGCACGGTACCCCACACCGACAAGCAGTTTATGGGATACCAGCTGGGCGTCCTAAAATTCTACTCAATTCTGACACAGTCTAACCCGAAATAGCAGCGGATGCCCCAGGTTCCGGGCTCATTCCATGAAACTGCCCACCCAGCCAGCCTCAGATGCATGGGAAAAGCCCAGGCTGCTCCCTTTGCTGCTGGCCCACTGGCTAGAAAGTGGAATTTCCACAACCTGCCCCCCAAGCACACAAACTTCCCTTTTACTGCTGTGTTCTCTAAGGACATCATTACCTCTGTAAACAGAAAAAAGTTACTACAGTACTTTATTGGGAATTGAGTGGTAATAAAGCTGATGGTCTTCGTTCCTAAATATTTGTGTATTAATAATTTAAATATTGTAGAATTTTCATATTCATATATTTTAAATATTTACATTTTTCTAATTCACACAGGTTTACTCGAAACCAACAAAGGATCTTGGAGCAAAATAATCAGAGGGAAAATGCCAATGTAAGTGAATAGAAATGTTACAAAATACATAATTGAATGGTTTACAAATTATACAGCGTGGAGCAAGGTTTATGTTAAAATAAGCTTTAAAAAAGAGGAGATATGCCTTAATGCCTGGGATGGTTTTGGTGGTATAGAGTATTGTCTCAATAACTTGATGTTATTCAGTTATTAATAAGAGGTCATAAGAAGATGCTCTCACTAAGCAGGAGCCCATGCAGATGGTGAGATACGAATTGGTACTCATGTTGCCTATTGAATGGAGAGTTCTCCCTCAAGATGCATCCATATAGGACCCTCTTTTCTCCAAAGGAAATCTCCTGGGGAGAAAGCTGTGATAAACTACCCGGCACAGTTTTTCCAAATTATGCTTTTGTTTGCTTTGTTTTCAGACTGCCAGTGAACCTTCTGCCCCATCCTGTGAGCTCGTTGACCTAAGTCCCAGCCCTCCGAATCATAGGGCCTCCCTGGAAGAGCTCAACACCATGAATGCTCAGCTTTCAGACCTAAGTAAGCAAGCTCCCGAGCCTTTTACACCAGCCGAAGGCCTTGCTGTGAAACAGTTCTCCTTGGTTTCATGATTAAATGCAACCAGAGAAGGGCTGAAGTCAGTTTGAACAGCACAACTGTATCATCAGGGAGTGTAATTTCTTGGTAGATGGTTGGGTCACACCCAGGACAGGAGTGACATGTGACTGGGGGAGGAAGTCCTTGAAAGCCATCCCATTGGCTTAGACTCACTCTCCTGGGATTCACGTGGCCTGCTTTATAGAGGTGGTTCAATCCCATGGCCGGTACTCTGAACCCACACACTACTGTCTTTGGGTGTCTCTGCCATTCTACAGCATCAGATAAGGGAATACTGGTTGTAGAGAAATTCAGGAACTGTGAGGCCTTATCCACGTGGTGGTGACATTTAGAGGAGAAAACACAGGCTTTTCGGTCAGAGGAGTCCACGTTGAAATCCCAGTTCTGCCACCTCTTAGCCACCTACCCTCTGAGACTTTCCTACCTTATAAAGGAAAAACAGTGTTTACGTGAATGGGTTTCTGTGAAGGTAAATGAATAATGTTTACAAAATGCATTGTTAGCTTGGGGTTACCTATCTTATCTATCTTATTTGTTATCTCCTACTATCCTTATTCCCAAAAAATTTGGGTAAATGACAAAATAAGGATGATTAAAAAAAAGGTTGAAGTCCAGAAGTTTTCGCCAAACTAAAATCAGTTTATTTTTTCCCTTAGGTTAGAAAGTTTTTCCAGAGTCAAAATATTTGGATTTGTGGTTGTCTTAAAACTTCCTTTATTTCTGACATGTTGGGCTGCTTGCTTATGTAGACCAATGGGATGTGTGGAGTCTGATACATTGAAGAGTTTTCTTGAGTTTTTATCAGGCATTTTTTGGCGTGAGGGCGGGGATATTATTCTCTTTGGGGTGTCTCACTTAAGATGGGAAGTTAAGAGTTTGGGGAGGTGAGGGTAGAACTCTGTGTATAGAAATAGAGTTTTGCTTTTGAAGTTGGTAGAACAAGGCACATAAAATGCCTTTCATTCCTGATCAGCTTGAGATTTTATAAAACCCAGTACAGTAACATCTGCTACCTTTTCAACAACCTCTCTTTGTGGCAGGAAATTTCTCTTTCCAATCACCCTAAAATGAGGCTCTTCAATTTCTATTTGAGAATGCTTTATGATGACTGAATTTTCTCTCTCTCTCTCAATACTGTGGAAAAGGCAACAGAACAAGTTGCTGACAGAATGTTTCGAATCCAAACAAGTCCAATTTGTGTCCTAGGTTTCAGCTCTCCACGTCCTCTTGTAACCAACAACCTGCAATCCAGTGTTCACCCACAGGAAGATTTTCTAGCCTTGGGAAACACAGAAACAGCCCTGTAAGTATGCCAGTCCCACTCCGGGCCTAACACCATCTCGCTCTGCTCCTTGCCTCAGGAAGCATGATGTGACAGGAAAACTAGAGACTTCAGAATCAGACCGACCTGAGTGGGGGGCTCAGCACTGCTTCTTCCTACTAACTGTGCAACCCTGGATAAGATACTTACCTAGACTGAGCCTTCAGTTTCTTCTAAGACTGCTTCCTAGAATTCTTACAAAGATCCTGTGAGATGCTGGCTGTACCTCCTAATACAGCATTGGTAGATAATAAGCTTCCAATAAATTGTCTCTGTTTCTGTTATTTTTAAAGTGACAACACAAAGTAGAGGAAATACAATGACAAAGGAAGGGGGAGAGAAGTGAGGTTCAAAATCATTCAGCATAGTGGCCACACCAATTACCAAGGACTTGCTATGTGCCAGGCACTTTGCTGAGCTGTTTTTGTTTATTGCATTTAATCTCTGCAAAAGATTTCTTGGGTCAGTGCTATTAACTGTCATTCTCATTTTACAGGAGGAAAGGCTGAAATTTAGGGACTAGAACTTGCCCAAATTCATATAGCTATTTAAATAGTGGTTCTCGCTAATAGTTGCATATTTTACTCAGAGATCCCCTGGATTTCATACTTTGGCGCGCATGAAAATCACTTGTGTGTATCGAACGGTAAAGTTTCTGGCCCCTAGAAATTCTAATTCAGCAGTAGAGGTGAAATCAACCATCCAGATGTCTCCTGGTCTTGAGATTTTCCCACTCCTCTGTGTTTGCAGTTTAATTTGTTCATTACGGAACAGATGAATGGTAATAGTAGGGCCCCTTGGAGACAGTGATGATGGGATCAAGTCATAGGTCATATTTATAGCCTGCTTACTATCAGGCAACAGACTAAGAAGAATAAGAGAAGCCTATTAATTTCTTGCTAGCTCTCCCAGTAGGTACCCCATCTTTCTCATTTCCAATGAAGATACCAAGGCTGAGGACGATTAACTTGCCAAAGGTTACCCTTATGGTAAAATTGACACCCCGCCCTTTTTCTGGGTGTTCAGTTCCATGGATTCTAACAAGTACATAGATTCATATAATCACCACTGCAGTCAGGATACTGACTAGTTCCATCAGACCAAAAAACCCCCTTGAACTGTTCCTCTATCATCTACCCTCCCCAACCTCAGCAACCATCGGTCTGTTCTCATCACTATAGTTTTGTCTTTTGGAGAATGCTTTCCAAATGGAATCATACAGTATATAGTTCTTGATATAAAAAAATTGGCATTTGCTTTATGTATTTGAAGCTGTTACAAGTGATGAATATGCATTTAGGATTGTTCTAGATTCTTGGTGAATTGACCCTTTGATCATTTTGTAATGTCCCCCTTTGTCCCTTGTAAATTTCTTGGCCCTGATATCTACTTTGGTATTACTATGGCCACTCTAGCATTCTTTCAATCAGTGTTTGTGTGGTATCTCTTGTTCCATCTCTGTACTGTTAACTATATCAGAATATTTGGAGTGAGTTTCTTGTAGATAGCAGGTAGTTGTGTCATGCATTTTTATGTATTCTCATCATTTCTGTCTTCAAGCGGTAATGTTAGACCCTTTCCATGTAATGTAATTATATGTTTGAATTAGGATCTACCATTGTGTAATGTTTTCTGTTTGTTCCTTTTTTCCCTCTGTTTCCTGCATACTTTTGGGTTATGTGAATGTTTTCAGTACTCCGTCTTATCTGCTGTGATCTTCGTGTAGTTTCTATATGGGGCAGGGGCCGGTTGCTCCAGGGTTTGCCATGTACAGAACTTAAGTCTGCCTAGAACCAGCATTTGACCCCTTGAAGGGAAAGGTAGAAACCTATCACCATGTAGATCCCCCATTTAAATTACAGTTATCACATATATGACATCTGTATACATAGAAAAAAAACTACCACTAGACAATGTTATGATTTTTGCTCACAACCCACAAATGTGTATTTCAAACCACTCTTCAGGAAGAGACACATAGTCTATTGTATTGATGCAATATTTACCGTTTCTCTTGCTCTTGCATTTTGTTCCAGTATAATTTCCCTTCTCCCCAAAGAATTTCCTTTAGCCCTTCTCTTATAGCAGGTCAATCAGCAGTGGAAATCTTTTAGTTTGACTTCACTCCAGTATGTCTTTATTTCGTATTTGTTCCTGAAGCGTTTTTTTGCTGGATCTAGAATTCTGGGTTAATGGTTCGGTTTTTTTCCAGCAGTATTTAAACTCCACTCTCTTCTGACCTAAATGGTTTCTAATGAGAAACCTGCGTTTATTCAAATTGTTGTTCCCTGTAGATTCTGTGTTGTTTTCTCTGCCGGTGCTTTCAAGAACTTTTTCCCCCTAATTTTGAACAGTTGGATTATGAAATGTCTAGGCATGGATTTCAGTTTATTCTGTCTTGGGTTTACTGAGTGTATTAGTTTCCTATGGATACTGTAAAAAAAAAAATTACCACAGACTGGATGGTTTAACACCACAGGAATTTACTTTCTGAGTTCTGGAGGCTAAAATTCTGACATTCAGCAGGGCCACACAACAGGGTTTTTAGGGGAAAAGCCATTCTCTGTCCCTTTCATACTCTGGCGACCATTGGCACTCCTTGGCTTGGTTCCACACCACTCCGCCTTCTGCCTCCACCTGCACACTTCCCTCTCCTGTCTAAAATCTTCACTGCTTTTCTCTCTCAAGCTCGCTTGTCATTGCAGAGTAGGGCCCCTTTGAATAACGCAGAATGATATTGTCGTCGTCTTAGACTCCTTAACTTAAATACATCTGCAGAGACCCTTTATCCAAATGAGGTGACATTCACAGGCTCAAATAGTTGCCCCATGCATCCATTCTGTCCAGGTATTCTAGGTGCATTTAGTGGGAGAGGCAAGACAAAGTGTGTTTCCTCCAACTTACCCAGAACCAGAACGCTCCCACTTCCTTCCCAGTCCCTGCTCTGCATCACCTCTCATCCTTTGGGAAAGGATAGTGCGGTAGCTGCTAGGACAGAAAGACCGAAGGCTCTGTTCTTACTAGTGCCTATGCATACTTCAGAGTCCCAGGGCCCCCACTGCCAAGGGACAATGCTGTCTTTTCTCTCTTTGGTACCTGGGCATCATGACCTGGTGGGCACCAAAACCAGCTGGGATTGTTTTTTAAAATTAATACTTTTGTACAGTCTGAAGGTACATTATACTTCTTGTTTTTAGACCAGGAAAGTCTCCTTACTTTTTGCATTTGTGTTCTCACTGTAGGGTAATCATGCTGTGTTATCACACTATCCTAGGTCTGCCCAAAGGACCGGCCAAAACCTCGCCACAGATCATACATACGAGAGCGTAAGTGATGAACCCTTCACTGGCAGTGCGCCTAGTCAGATTAGCATGGCCAAAAAGGAACTCCTGGTCATTAATTCTAATGTTCTTCTCATTGTTGCCTTGTATTTATAATGTATTGATATAGCCCTTGTTAGGGCTTTTCCTTATTGTTTACTCTTTTAATTTTCTACATTACAGTTGACATACAATATTATATTTGTTTCAGATATACAACATAGTGAGTAGACATTTCTTTAACTTACAAGGTGATCGATCGCCCTGATTAAGTCTGGTACCCGTCTGACACCATATGTAGTAATTACAGCATTATTGACCAACGTCCCTATGCTGTACTTTACATCTCCATGACTGTTGGTGCAATTGGCAATTTGTACTTCCTAGTCCCCTCCCCCTTTTCACCCATCCCTTCCTTCTGGCTACCATCAAAATGTTCTCTGAATCTGAGTTTGTTTCTTTCGCTTGTTGTTTAGATTTCATATATAAGTGAAAGCATATGGTATTTGTCTTCTTTCTGTCTGACTTATTTATAGATGAATAGATAAAGAGGAAGTGGTACATTTACGCCATGGAAAATTACATACCTGTAAAAAAAAGAATGAAATCTCACCTTTGCGACAACATGAGTGGAACTACAGGGTATTACACTAAGTGAAATAAGTCAGACAAAGTCTTTTAAATCTTTTAAGATAAACAAGTTGCATCTCCCTTCTGTTAGAAGGATGACAAAGGACCAGAATTCCTCTAGTGTTGTTCGTATTTGTTGCCCCTACTTCTTGGTTCCGGTCCTTTGACAAACTTCACAGGTTGTCACCACTCTACCCTCTTAATGAGGTCAGCAGTGACCTCACTGCTGAATCTAGTACTGCAGTTTTCAGTCCTCCTCTTACCCGATTTGTCAGCAGCCCGTGATGACATCACTTACTTCCTCCTCTTTGGCATATATGGCTGTTGGGCGCCACTCTTTCCGGATCTTTTCTCATCTCCTTCACTTTCATCCCAGCCCGAGCTTCCAACCTGCCCTTTCTGCCGTCTTTTCCTCCTCAGCAAATGACCACACCACTATTTCAGTTGCTCAGGTCAAAAACCTTGGAAAGTAGTGCTTGACCCTCTATATTTTTACCCTTTACCTTCAAAGTATATCCATTATCCCAGCCACTCTCTCTTTTTGTAAATTGTCTTTTATTGATTATGCTATTAGGGTTGTCCCAATTTTCCCCCTTTGCCTCGTCTCCACCCAGCACCCCCCCCGCCCCAGGCAATCCCCACACCACTGTTCATATCCACGGGTCATGCATGTAAGTTCTTTGGCTGCTCCGTTTCCTGCACTGTACATTACCTTCACGTGCACACCCCAGGCTAAGCCACCAGGTGGATGCTGCAGTGGTTTCCTAAGGGCTGCCCTGCTTCATGTTGCGCGTGGGTCACCGGCCAGCAGTGACCACGGAACGCTGTGGATGGCTCGACAGTAAACACGCGAGAAAAAACAACACATGCACAGAGACAAACTAGTTTCTGTGGGGAAGTAGGGACAGAATGGCCACCCCCCCTAGTGGGGAGCGCGCTGATTTACCGTCCATACCTGCTTTTATTAGGCTCATGCTACATAATAACTCAGGTAAAGTACAATACTCATTAGGGGAAGTAAGGAACTATAGAAAACAAAGAACTCTGCCGGTCTATTGAGTTGGGGGTCAAAGAGCTGTAAGACTGAGGAACAAACTAGCTTCCTCCTAAGACCCTTCTCATTCAACTGAGAGCATTCTGAACAAAGAAGGTTTCACAGTAATTTACATGTTCTTCCTTAGGCCTGATCACCCAGGGAATCCGCACTTCTCAGTACCGAGCTGCACCACCCTGTCATTGTTTTAGGCTTAGGTGGAGCAAGGGAACTAAGGCAACCAAAAGATAAGGAGATTTTCTCCCAGACGCTGAGAACTCAGGCTTTGTCAAAGCCGAGGAGCGAGGGTCCATCACCCCCTTTTGCTGCAGCCCCCCAAGTCCTTCTTTGGGGGGGCCTCCCAAAGTGATCGTGCCTGGCTTAGGTCGTTTCCCCCGTGGGGAATCTTACCCGTCTTTGGCTAACCGACCAAGCTTTTTGGGGTTCAGCAGCAGAAGCAGCATTCCTGCCAGGGAGATGAGCTTTTGTCTCCTTGCTGGCTTACGGTTCCAAGGGCGTTCCCTTAGCCTTAGCTAGGCGGGAGTTTCAGCCTCTGATACCAGTCAGGGCGGTTCCCAACAGCTTCAGCCTTCACCCGCTCTCCACTCCCACCTGCCACCACACAACCTAGTCTCAAAAACCAGAGCTGTCTTTCTTAAAAAGTCAAGTCACGTGATGTCACCTACCTGCTCTAAACCCATCCATGGTTTTCCTCCTCGATCCATTTTATTAAGTAAAAGCCTGGAATGCTGATCTGATCCCCGCTCCGTTACCTTGCCAACCTCACTTCTCCCCTCTCTCCTCCCTTGGCTCACTCGACTCCTGCCACACTGACCTCCACTGCTTCAGGACACGTGACCTCAAGTGCGCCTCCGGTCATCACAGGGCAGCTCCAGAGTCAGGGCTCCGCTCACTGTCTGCGGCGGGAAGGCATTCCCCACCCACTGTGATCCAAGTGGTAGCCACCCCGCCCACCCCAGTCTCTCCTGCCCAATTGCCCTTTTCCCTTAGAAGACTTACCATCCGACATCTGTGTACATTTGCTGATCGTCTGCCGCATTTTATTTATTGCTCTACTTACAGTGCCTGGCATCCAGTAGGTGCCCAGGACATATTTATGCAACAAATAAGGAAAATTGCAAGAAAGATATTTCTAATTGAGACTTTTAATCTTTATTAGTTCTTTTCAAATGCCATCACTTTATACCTTTCTATGGGGTGAAGATAATTTTTTTTCCTGTTTGAGGCTGAGATTTTATATTTAGTGTAAAACAACAGAATCTGGATTGAGCTATAGATTCTTGCTTTTATTTTTTTAAAGCAAACATCTATTTTTTTTTAATTTTACATGGGAATGAGGTGCAATGGGCACAAAGCCAGACAGAAAAGCAGTCAATTGTATAAGTGGTTATTAACTAAAAAACTAAATAGTTCGTAAGTACTACTTCTTGTCCAGTAGAGTATATGATTCGTGGAATAGTGCCACTTGAAAGCTTAGGAATCTAAATAATAATAATAATAACAACAACAACAGCAGCAGTGTAGAATGTTTATGTGAATATGCACTTTCTTGTTTCAGGTTCCAGACTATTTAAATACAACATTACTACACCCAGTGAGTCTGCAGACCACTCCAACCACACCATCTAACCAGAGGCGGCCAGCCTTGCCTGGCAATCATCCAGGTACTCAAGATGCTATCGTTTGCATAAGGAAAAATTGTGAGAATAAATGAGTCTGCCGGAGATTTATTGGTAATTGAAAATAAACATATAGAGGAAAAATGAGAGGAGTGTATTTGCGTTTTTCAGTTCCATGATGTAAACTCAGGAAAAATACCATTAAGAATGACATTAGGAAGTTGTAAAAAAGGCTCGCATTGTGCTGAATATTGAATTTTGAGCACTGAGGGAAAATGAACCTTTAGTTGAAGTTTGAAATCATTTTGTTATGGAGGTTTGCTGCACATGGGAGTGGTATTAGAACACCAGTGTATTTGTTTTTGGTTGTCAGTGTCTGTCAGTATCTTATGTTTGAAATCTGAATCATAAAGAGGATACTAATTGTGCATATTTCCTCAAAAAGCACAATGTGTGTTTACTACCTTTATTTTCTTTTTTGCCTAAAGCCATGGCAAAGAATGATCTCCAGCCACCCAATTACTTCGAGGTAATGGAGTTTGATCCCTTAGCTCCTGCCGTCACTACAGAGTAAGTCATTTACATAATGATTAACTTATTTTTTTGTCTAGGTTCCCTGTGGTAGCAGAGCTAACAGGGCCTGCCTATACATTTAGCTTTGTTTAGGTCTTGGCACAAATTGATGACCTTATTAAAAATGACTTATGAGGTTTTGTGGAAGCTGTTGCTCTTAATGGTCTTACCATTCTTAGCCTTGTGAGTGAAAAATAAAAAGGCTGGGGTTGCACATTAAGAAATCACTGGAACCGTCATGTGCATTAATGGACTCCTCGTAGACGCCCTGGCAGAAAGGCAGGTTGTCCCCAGCCCGAGAAGGGCACTAGTCAGTGATTAACGACACAGCAACACCACATGGGTGGCATATTTTAGCTATTCTTTGACTCCTAATCCCCAAAAATCTCATGTAAAAACTTTTTAGTTTTTACTACATATGACTATAACGTGCTTAAAATAGATTAATAAAGTATTCGCGTAAAAATAAGTTGAAATCCTTAAAGCACTGTTATTTTATGAGTTCCTATTAGTCAAGTGTATATATCGAAGGTTCATTAGAGCTTTAATATACTTTGATTGACTGAAGGTTGCCCCCCAAATCATTAAGAATGATGAAGCAAGTTTATGGAAATCACTGTTCAGAAACTGGCAGCCTGCAGGCAGTATCTTTGCTGACAGCTGTGTTTTGTTGAACCTGTGCAGAATTTAAAATAATGCATTTTAAAATTAATTGCCAGCAGTTACGCACTGGGACATTAAAAAAAAAAAGACTACTTGGACCTCTGGATGCTTTTAGATGCTAGGACTGCATTTTTACACGCTAGCCATAGGCTGGGGCTGAGGAGTGGCTGCCTCCTTAAGATTAGGCGGGTTCTGCCGCCCACCAGGCCCCCTCCACTAGGCCCCTCCACCTGTTCATTCGACCTCCCTGGCACTGTGTAGGCATTTGAGGTTTCAACGCCTGGTTTAAACCCTCAGTGTATACCAATCCATTTAGGAATAATTAATGGATAAATCTTAATAGGCTTAGGTGCTCATTAAGTATTTTTTCCTAACAGGATTTGAAATTTCCCTGGGTCCTTCTGCCTGATAAAATATCACTGAATGTATTAGTGTTTAAGGAATTAGAAATCGGTTAAAGTAGGTATGCTGTCCAGAAACTGTTTTTTGTGGGGTTTTTTTATCTGTTTCTGTTATGCAAATAGGAACTGGGAAACCTGATTAAATTCTAGTTACTTAGGAGGCTGTTATAAGTACATATGACAGTGCAACAGATATTAAAGGTGAGACGCAGTTAAAAGCTGGAGAAATGAGGCTTAGGAATTCTGTAGTTCTTCCTTTCTCCAGGGGTAAGTATATCTCCATTCCTTTGAAAGTCGCATGAAATCCAAGGAACTTCTCAGGAGAAGCCCAAAATCTTGCAGAGAAGTCTTGAGATTTTCCCGTCACTGGTTGTCCATGAACCCCAGGTTAAGAATTTCAGAACAGTATTTATGAGGATATATACATACACACACACACACACACACACACACACACACACGATTCATTCAACAAATGCACTGAACATTGACAACAATGAAGGCCTAATTTATCACGTTGAACAAGAACACACTCCCTGTCCTCAAGGAGGTTAAATCTAGTGTGGAGGCAGACATTAAATCAGCAGGCAAACATGTATTTACAATAGGTATGAATGGTATGAAATAATACAGTGTCTTGATATCGTGTATAACAGGAAGAACTAATTTACATGAGCATTAGAGAAAGCTTAATGAAGTGACATTAAAGTTGAGAGCTGTAATTGTTTTTTGAGTCAAGTGACAAGTTTAGGAATCAGTGTTGGAGGCCCAGGGGAACAGCTGGTACAAGGGCTCTGAGAAGAGGTTTGGCACCTTCAAGGGAATGGAAAAGCCACAGCCAAGAGCAGAGAGAGCAACAGGGAACCTATTAGCAAATGTGGAACTTGCAATTTGGAAACCAAAGAGAGAGGGAGTGCACGACTATGATGAACATCACTGACAGGGCAAGGAAAATGAAGATTGAAAACTAGATGATGGATTACGTAAGAGGAAATTGTTTGTGATTTTAGTAACAGCCACATTGATGGATGGATGGGGACAGAGGCCAAACGTCAGTGCACTGATAAGTAAGAGTGGAGTAGCAACAGTAAGTGCAGATGACACTAGAAACTTCAACACGAAGGGATGCTGGAAAGTGGTTTGGCAGCCAGAGGGTCACTGACAGGGGATTGAGGACCGTACTGTTGATGCTGGAGCATCTGTGAATGCTCAGGGGTAAGACCCAGTAGACAGGGAGAGGTTTGAGATTCAGTTACGGAAGGGGGACAACCAAAGGAAGTTCAGTGTTTGAGAAGTCAGGGTTAGATGGGGTCACAGTAGATGATGATGCAGATGAAAACAAACTTGAAGACTCAGTGATGGGAAGAGGAGGAAGTTTCCAAAATCAAGGCATTTAATTTATTAAGAAGTGGGGTTTCTGACTCACTGATAGGGATATCAGAGACTTGAAAGTGAAGGAGGTTGAAACAGTGGAGGGAAACTTAATACTATCTGGACTATGGTGGGGCCTCATGCTGTTGATGAGCGAGGCTTCACAGTGCTGTGATTTTTATGAGATTTTTCTTCAGCTATGTATTACTGTATCATATGAATGTCATGTTTATAGACATATTTTCCAGCCACAGATATGACAGATACAAAGAACTGTATGAAAGATGTCATACAAAAATTATTATATATAAAGTACAAAGATGACTGAAGCTAAAGGTGGCTCAGGAGGTTGGACTGTAAAAACACAGGTTAAATAGGCTGTACTCAGTATATTTAAAAATTTTTTTTTTAATTCGAACATTTATTCATGAAGTCGTTTTTCTATTTATTATATTTATTGCATTTAAATTTGGGGGGAAATTGACAATCTATTTAAGGACAAATGAGGCTAACCTTTCTTTTTTTTTTGAGAACTGTTAGGTATCTATATATTTTCTTTTTTTTTTAATGTTTTAAAACCAGGGAAAGGTGAACAATTTTTCCTTTTTTTGTTTTTGCAGAGAGAAAAGGTTTTATTCACTTTCCAAGAGTGGAAAGGGGCATTTTGTTGAGAGATACACCAACCTCATTTTTTTTAAAGCAGAAGCAAACTGTCTAGATTTTAGCCATATTTTTTATTAAATCACAATTAAAATGAATTGATTATACAATATACATATTTTAAAGATGCACAGGAATTGCACCTAGGATCTAAGAAAGTTTTAGTGTAAGATTTAGGGCATAAATTTTTGTTTTTATTCACTTATACAGCCTGAACAGCTAAGGGCACCTGAGTTTTAGTTAAAGTTAAAAGCCAAAATAGTCCTTTGGAACTGATATGTAACCCTTTTGCAATGATGGCTTGTTTGTTTCAGAGCTACATATGAAGAAATTGATGCTCCTCACCACAAAGGCACTCAAAATCACAGTGACTGTTGAGGTAAAGACTTCCACTTACATAACCTTCATTCCACATTCTATGGGATTTCAGTGTAATTATCACTTTCTCTCTCTAGTATTTACATTTTGTAAGGGCCACCCGAGTCTTTGACACTGTGATGAATGAAATGTTGTTATACAGGTTCCTCCAAATCAAATGAAATACATTCTCTGTGACCTTGTTAACTAAAAATAATAAATTTTGGAAATGCAGAAGTTTGTTTATATGTAGAAATATTAATGCCAACAAAAACAGATGATCAATAAAAACTCTTTAGCCCTGGAATCAGACATTTATCTTTTATGTGCAGCTAATGCCTGTAAACTGGGACTGGGAGAAACCAGTCATTGTTATCCCAGAGAGGCCTGGATTGTTCCTATTTGCTATACTAGTCATCCCATTTATTTATTAAAAAATGCATGGCCACTAATAATCTATTAACCTTATTTATTCCCCTCACCAACCCCCACAATGAAGACAGTACATTCCTGTTTTCCCTCTATTAATATGTGGATCTCTTGTTATCAAGGAATGGGGAAAGACAAGGAAAGTAGGGGGTGGCTGACTATGTTCTGTTTATTCCAGGTGAAAGTGAATGACCAGCTCACTAACTGCATTAGGAGTAACAACTCTCTAAAAGGTAGACCCTGTCCAGCTCTGAGGCCCAGAAGACCTACCCACACATCAAAACCATGATGGAGCATTTCTCCTCTGCAATAGTGAGAGTTAAACAGAAGAGTAACAGTTCATGCTCTCTCATAAGAATTTGGTTTTAACATATATTCACTTAAAACTTAAACAGGAGAAAAATTCATTGTGCGGAGGCCAACCAGGTTAACTGGAGCAACTTACTGTTTCACAGGCTTTCCTACCTTCAGAAATCATCTCATGGCTGTGATGAGAGTAGATGAATACTTTTTATTACAAAATAATTCTGAATAGATGTAAGCATGAAATGTGAGAGACTAAATATACTATTCAAGAATAGTGAGTGCCTTCATTTAACTGAAGTTAAATATAAAAGTCTATTTGCACTTCTTTATAAATAATATTCTTGTTTAGAATTACGAATTGTAAAAAAACCTTAATATTGTAGTTTATATTTCAGGTACCCTGAAGAAGTCACCAAACGCTACATCGAGTTGCCTTTAAATACGATTCTTTATAATACTAAATGTTCTCTTTTTTCTTTTTTACTAAAATTCAATATTTCTATTTGGAACAAAGACCACTGGAAAATATTCAGAATAAATTATACATTCATTTATGTCATAAATTACAATGAAAAATTACTATTAAAACAAGTTAATACATCTTTTTACAGAGTTTGTTCATTATGGAACTTCTGATGTCAGGAATCTCCACATTTCCCACACTTACATTTCAGCATTGGGGGACTCGGAACTATCACACGAAATATTAGAAGCCTAATAGGTACTTGCATTTTCATGATACCAAAATTTCAAATTATTCAGTACTTTGAATGTATATTGCCCTAGATCTTAAAGGAAAAACAGTCGCATCTGAAATCAAAATACAATCTTTGGGCAAACTGTTAGGACTTAGTGATTCCTCTTCCATTTTGACTTTTTAAAATAGTGACTATGTACAATGGGGGGGAAAAGCAGCAACCTACTGTTTTAGAGATACAGTCAGAAGTTCTGACCTACAGCCTCAGACAACACTTAGGCATTAAAAAAAATTATTGCTAACAAGTATGAAGTTCTAATCATTTGGAAGGGGACCAATGAATTAAGCTGAACCATCAAGTGTATGCCTACATATTCATGAAACAAAGCAGTTTCTTTTTAATACTGCTTAGCGAAGTATGGTTTTGAACAGTCATACATTCTAACTAGGCATGTGGATTCCTTATGATAAAAAGATGAACCTGTTCTCTATTTTAAGTAGGGCAAATCTGTCAGGGAAAAAGTCACTACATATTTAAAATAGCATAAAGTATCACGGAATATATTATTGTAGAATGTTTCTCTTCTGAGAAGATACATGATTTTTCAAAAATCACAAACTTGAAGCAGGACTTAGCTGCTGACTTCCATTATAGCCTGGAAGTGGCAACGTGTGACCCTCCTTCGCTTCAAAAAATGTGTAAGAAAGAGTGATGAGATCAACGTTCACCATTCTTGGATCCTCAGCAAATTCAGGATCGATGTAGAAAAACACTGGCATATCTACTTCTTCTTGTGGATTAAGCCGTTGTTCTTCGAAACAGAAGCACTAGAAGTTATAGAAAGGCATTTGTTTATTAATATTTCCATTCTGTTGTAATAGAAACTAATGGTGCATTTCTTGGCTTTCATAAGCATACTGTTAAACATAATCTTTAAGATCTCTGACGGGAAAACAGCACAGTATCTTTTCATTTCAGAATGAGTTCTGCTTTAAGGGTTGAGAACCAACAAATTCCAATCTCAAAGCAGGTTTCCATTTGGTTTGGCTCTAAACCTCTACACAGCTGTTATAAGCAATGAAAAAAACAGTTTGAGGTTTAGAAGAGTTTTCAGAAATCACTACCTACTAAAACACTGTAGTAAATGTAGTACTACACAGTTTTTTTGTACTTTTATGATATTCTATTGTTTGCATTTATTTGTACCTGTATTTTATTGAAATACTGTCCAGCTTCAAATGGTACAACGTTGTATGTAGAAATCCCAATTACTGGTTTGTCAGTAGGGTTCTTAGCTTTATAAAACGCCAGTGCAGTTTCTCCAGGCACTACCTGTTTTTAAAAATACATATACACTGTCAGTACTTAAAATCTCAATTAGTCCTATTATTTTCCATAACCATCAGACCATAATACCTAATCTAAACTAATGTTACGAGTCAGCAAAATAGTGATTACTATCCATGAACGTCTGATTTTTCACATTTCACACTTGTAGATATCAGTGAAGAACCAAGGTTCAACTACGCATAGTTACGCATTGTCCTCTTATATATCTGAGTCTTTAAGCAATGATCTGTAAATTAATTTAAAATGCTTTCAAAGACATCACTTCTCAAACCTAGTTTCTTAACACTTATTCCTAAATATCATTATGACTGACTAAAAATTCTTTGCAAAGGGTTACCAACATTAAACTTAGCTTACAGAGTAAATTAAACTCATAACCAGAGAAAAACTGGCTGAACAGAATTTTTATTTAACCAAAAAGCACTAATAATTTTTGAGAGAAAAAGTTGTGAGGCTTAAAAAATCAATTTCTGTCACTTGTTATCAATTCAGCCACTGATACCTTATTTACTACTATATGATTGGAACTAATATTCAAAATCATAACCTAAAAAATCCTCAATCGATGAAGAGACTCAACCATGTTTATTTACTAACCTGGGAAAGCACTAATAAGGGTTTTCCAGCACGAGTTACAATTAAGCTTTTCTGGCTATTCCTCAAGTCGAGAAAGAATTTCAGTAAACCCTCCCAAATTCCAGTTGGTTAAGATTTTAGGAAACCTTCTAGGTATAGTCTTGCTGAAGTAGAACATGACTAGTATAGTTACTGCAAAGGTCCTCAAAATTTATATTTTAAGAAACAGGGAGACTTTTGATGTAAATTAGTAAACTTTTTTTTCAAGATTTTTAAAAAGATTTTATTTATTTTCAGACAGAGGGGAAAAAAGGGAGAAAGAGAAGGAGAGAAACATCAATGTGTGGTTGCCTCTCTCATGCCCCCAATGGGGACCTGGCCCACAACCCAGATATGTGCCCCGACTGGGAATCAAACCCATGCCTCTCTGGTTCGCAGGCTGGCACTCAATCCACTGAGCCACACCAGCCAGGGCTTACTTTTCTATTATAGGCAATAATTTTCAACATTTTTCCTATCCAATAATTTATACTTGAGGAAAAGTTTAACTATATAACAGCTACTGCTCTAAAGATCAGTACAGACTGGAGAACTTTTCAGTGAACTCTTAATATGATTCTCATAAAAACACGACCTTTTCCACTGTTCCAAACTGCCTTTTACTATATAGTACCATGCAACTGAAAAGTTAAAGTATGTTCTGTTCATTACCTGTAGGGTGCTATCAAAAAATAATCTGTGGAAATAAAGTTACAGTAATGTAGTCTGTCAGTATTCTGAAATGATAAGTGTTAGATCAGTGTTTCCTAAACTGAAACAGTTTAGGTGATAAAAAATTTCTACACGGAAAATCTTTTTACACCAAAACACTCACATATATTTCCGTTTGCTGGGGCCTAAAGTTCCACTGGAGACTCGCATGCACGTCTGCATTGAAGGTGACTTTAATGATGCGATCCTTGACAGGCACCATGTTTTCAATCTGGTCTGACCCATGACCTGCTGTGACTGACCCTCCAAGTCCCGTTGTCTAGGAAAAAAAGTGTAACAGGTTAAATATTTTTAGGTGCTGATGACCTATTTATTGGATAGAAACATTTTAAAAACTGTTTAGAAGCTAAGTTTATATATATCACTGACTGTTTCCTATGAACATGTCAATGATTTAACCACTTTGGGTATGTCAAGGAGCCTGTATTTGTTAAAGTCTTTTTTTTATCTGTAATCTCTTGGTTATGTGATATCAAAAATGAGTTATTTGGAAGACAGCAGACTTTGCACTGGTAGTACAGCTCAGAATATTTAGTTTTTCATTTAGCCTACTTTCCTGCTAGTACTTCATATCAGCTAGTATTAATAGAAATAAAATGTACCCACAATCCTGTCACTTCAGTAAAACTATTCAAATAATTCCATTTTTCACATTCCTATGTGGTCCTTAGTGAAGCTTCAGTTCTGCAGTCTGCTTTTCTCAAGTAGCAGAAGTATTTTCCTGTGTTGGTAAATGTTTTTGTCATTTTTTTCTGTATTTTGGGTACAGTACAGCTTTTACAGTCATCCATCAGTTAGGAGAACTTGATTCCTCTGGCTGCTGAATCAACTAATCACAAGGCACCAGAACAATCTGTGTATGACACTTCTTCCCTATCTTCGCTGTCATTATTTCCTTTATCATCAGAGATGCTTTAAAAAAGAATCTTACTTCCAGGGCCATCACTCTTCTGATGCATGAGGTTGCCAGAATTCTGGTCTCCGGATTAATCTGTTACTATACTAGGAAAAAAATACCAAATTTCAGGCTAGGGGAAGACTCACAGCCAAATATAATTACTACTATCTTCTGCCTGTTACACAAGTCAGCTAGCTTCACTTGACTGCCATGCAACATTATCAAATTACATTATACCCCAGAAATATGCATCAGAGGGCAAACCTTTATTTATCCTTAATAGATAAGTATATTCTTCTGCCCAAGAGGGCTACGATGCTTAAGTTTTAAAATATAACTTTTTTTCCTGAGGAATTTGAGTCACCTGAATATAGATCCCTTAAATGTATTCTCTCTGACAGGCAGTCTTGAAATATAGATTGTTTAAATTTATAGGCTAATAATTAGATAAATTAAACAGGAATAGAAAAGGGCACTGAAAAGAAAGTATGTCCTAGTCTCTAGTCTAGCTCTGCTACTAACAAACTCCAAGAACTAAATACATCTTACTTTCTTTGTGCTCCACATTTCGTATTCATAAAATGAGGTTACTGTGTTAGTTTATATAATCCCTTATTTTTGCCTCTAAAGTTCTGATTCCAGAAGGGAAAAAGATGCTCTTTTGGAAATGTCACTATTTAACATCAAACTGTGACTTAAGTTTAAGATCACAAATTACAACTTCTTTTCTGCCCTGCACACACCCGCACAAAATATTGTCATTTACTCAGTTTGGGGCAGGATTTCTCAATCTTGGCACTAATGACATTTTGGGTTGGATAATTTTTTTTTGAGGGGTGACGTCGTCTGTCCTGTTCAGTGTCAGATGTTGAGAAGCATCCCTAGCCTCCACCCACCAGGTACCAGTAGCACCCTCCCTTACCTTCAGGTGTGACAATCAAAAACTGTCTCTAGGCATGACTAAACACTCCCTGAGGAATAAAATTGACCTCCCCATCCCCACGAGGTGTGCGGAGATCTAGGAGTATACTGTTTTCGATTCAGTTCCACTTATTTCACCAGCTGGTAGTTTGGGGATTCGAGCTTGTTTGAGGCTGGCCACTGATGAAAACTTTCACAGTCTCCACTCATCCTCTAGATATCAAGCAACTGCACTTTCTCCCACATCAATGCTGATATGAGACCGAAAAGTCTTTTTGACCTGTTTCAGTCATCATAAAAAATGCGCCCTGGCTGGGTGCTAAGTTGGTTGCAGCGCAGTCCTGGACACCAAAAGATCCCAGGTTCCATCCCCACGCAGTACAGGAGACAACAGATCAATGTTTCTCCAAATCAATAAACACACCCTATAAAGGCAAGTTAATATCCATAAACTCGGGAGAAGTAAGCCAGGCATTAACAGCAGCAAAATCAAAGATTCTGAGAACTCTAAAATATTACTAATGCCTGACTCCCACTCTAAAACATTCTCATTTAATTGGACAGGGACATGATCTGGGTTTCAGGATTTTAAAAAGTTCCCCAGGTGACTCCCACATACAACAAAGACTGGGAACGACTCTCAAACACTAATGAACCTGGTATGTAGCTCTCACTTATAGCATGTTTTTTAACCAAATTTCTGGGCCCTACCCAGACCTAATCAGAGTCTCTGGGAGCAGGAGAGCCCTGACATTTTAACAAGCTTCACTGGTGATCCTAATGCCCAGCCAAAGCAGCAAATTACTACTTCAGAAATAGGTGAGGTTTGACTTTGCCAATGGTTATCAAAAAACCAGTTTGCATCAAAATCAGCTGGAGGACTTATCAAACTACAAATTGCTGGGCCCTGCCCCCAGAGTTCCTGATTCAGGAGCTAGGCCCAAGATTTTGCACTCAAGTTTCCAGGTGACGTTAAGGTGCTGGTCCGCAGGACCACACTTTGAAAACGATTTAGTTACTGATCTAAAAAGGAGCCCAGGGCAAGCACATTACAGCTCAAAGACCCAATTCAGGTCCCTCGGTATAGATAAAAAGCTACTCTCAGGGTAAGCACAAGTAACACGGTCCCATATCCAGGGTTAACCTTCGCACATAAACCATGCGGTTCACAGAATGAATGTATTAATATAACTACACTTTTAAAACAGGCGCGTGTGTAAGCAGCAGAGAGTAAGGCTGGATTTAAGCGTACAGGCGGCGGACACTTCTGATGAGGTGTACGTCAGAGGTCGAGCGCTTTCCCATGTACCTAAGTACGATCACTGTAGGGGAGTGGGTTCTATTCAAAGCTTTGCAGCTAACTTTTTTGGTGACCTTGGACAAGTCACCTTTCTGAGCCCGTTTCCTCTCTGAGCAATCATTTCGGACGTCCCTTCCAACGTGACACCGCCCAGTGGGCAGCGCCGGCCCCTACCTGGCAATAGAGCCGATACAGGGGTACGGCGGCGTAGGACGCCCCCAGCATGCCCACGGCGGTCGCGGCCACGTACGTGAGGACGGTCTTGTTCCGCCGCCGCCATTCCTCCTCCTGAGCGCGCGTGTAAGGGTTCGAGCTCTTCGGTCGCCGGGGCGGCTGCACCACCAAGTCTCGGGTCAGGCTTGGGCGCCTCCATGTTCCGAGCTGCCTCAGTCCCCTCTCAGCACCTTCTGTCCCACTCCTCCCTGGCTTGAGACACTGCTCTACCCTCTCCGCAAAGCTGGTCGGAGGCCCAGCAGGGGTCCGGCGCCAGCCACAAAAAGCAAAGCGTCTCCATGCCGGACGCCAGAGCCCTCCCATAGCGCCCGGAAAGAACGCCCGCCTGTCACGCACGAGGTAAGATCTCGCGAGGCCTACCCTGTCCCGCGATATCTGAGTTGAGCCTGCTGCTACCTAGGCTACCAGGCTCCTCGGGAGTCTGTGCTTGTACTGGAGCTACGGCGGCCGGGTTGCCAGGTTACGGGTAAGTTCGCGTTTTGCTTTATGAGTGTTGCACCCAGTTTGCTTCCCTCTAGTACCTCACTTATAGGAAAACGTCTTACGTGCCACCGCGCGCATCCGCACATCACTCGGGTTAGCGTCCCTGATCTTCCTAACCTCCATCAGCCATTGTCTCTTCGTAGCGGCCCCCAGCGGCCGCTGTCCCGCGGTGCTTTTACCTGGGGTACTCGGCCCCCTTCGGACCTGGGCTCAAGGGATCACCCGTCTTAGAGAGCCTGCCTTGATGACTAACCACTCGAACACTCCCGTGCATTTTCTCAGTCCCCGGGAATCGGCTTCCACTGCTCCGACGCCCCTTAACTTCTTGCCCAGTGAAATTACCTGGGGCGCAGTAATTACCTTGTGGAGCGGGAGAGACGCTGTTCACCTGAAGTTTGTTGGGAGAAGAATGATCAGGCTATGAGGATCATTTAAGGAAGGATTGAAGGAAAGGGTGGGGGGTGTTCACCTTGGAAAAGAAACGTGTGGGGGATGTGATAGCCTTCTGTTACCCCACGGGACAAACTAGAACCCGAGGGAGACAGCATAGCTTGATTTTGCTGTAATGGAAGGAACTACAAAGTAGCGGTTAAGAGCTCAGGTTCAGACGTTAGGTCTGGATATATGCCTGGGTGTTTATTATGGCCTCGTGTCCTTCAGCCAGTTACTTCACCTAAGATTTGTGACCTTAGTTGTAAAATGGGAATTATAACAGTGCGATTATCCGTGTAAAGTGATTTTCACAGTGCCCAAAGCATAGTAAAAAGACAGTAAATGGTAGGCTTTCTTTCTGATGAGCAGAACTGCCTGAGAAGTGAAATGACTCATTCAACAATTACCGTTTTTTGTCGTGTCTACATGCTTTTTTTGCCTAAGTTTTTGACGGAAAAATAAGGATAAGCATTATACGTGGGTATAATAATTATATACTATGAGCATATTAATCCCGTGTATAATGTGCATAGACACGTGAGTGTGCATTATACACGGCGCAATTTCACTCTCGCTGTGGGCTAGACCTTGTTCAACTTCCTGGAGGCTACAGCATAGAAAAAGTCCAACAAGCTCACTTCTGTTATGGAGAGTTCTTTCTTCTGATGACTCAGGAGATAATCAAGTGAGAGATACATAAATAAGGGGATTTCACATAATCTGCACAATGAAGACAATGGGATAATAGTGCGATTTTATTATTTTTCCTCTTAAAAATTTTATTTTTGAGGCACTTCATGCTGCTCATTTTGAGAGAGAGGAACATGCTGCCTGAGGCAACTCACTCACGCTGCCTTCTTTGATCTCACTCGGCACCTGGGTGGCTATTGGTCGGAGGTTGGCGTGGCTGGTGGTCGTGGTGGAGGGGCTCGTTCCCAGGGAGGCTGGTGCGATCTCGATCTCGAGGTGCAGGCTGCAGCACCCAGGGTGGGGTCTCGCAACGGAGGCAGCTCGAGTTCTCGGTTGCCTCTCTTTGATAATAGTGTGATTTTAAATGATGAGGAGGAAGAGTAGTAAAGTCAAGTCTTACTGAAGATGTGACCTTTGAGCCTAGGCCTGAATGATAAGGAGCAGCCTATACAATGACAATTCCAAGTCAGGCAAGGCCCCAGAGGCAAGGCAAAAGGAGGACAGAAAAGAGGCCAATGCTAAGTACCTAGTGAGCAGGGAGGACAGTGGTTAGGAAATGGGGTCAAAGAGGGTATACAGGGGCCAAATTATACAGAGGCTTGTTCGCCCTACCCAAAGGTTTGCATTCTATTCTAAAATTAATAGGAAGCTGTTGGTGAATTTGAAGCGTACAAGTGATCTGATCTGATTCACATTTTTATTGTTTATGTTGTGCAGACTGGATTAAAGGGAAGGGAGGGGCAAAAGTGGAAGTAGGCAATTGCAGTAGTCCAGGTGAGTGATGATGGTCACCTTGAGTGAGTAATTGATTAACTTGTGGTCTCAAGGCCAGAAAATGGCAAAGCCAGTCAAATCCAAGCACCTTCTGAGTCTTTTCTACTTTGGCACAAAAATCTCAAAATTCTCTGATTCTACAAATTTGTTTGTACTTTTTTATGTGAATGTTTGAAAATCTTTTTCATCTTTTCTCCCTTAGTTCTTATACCAGATTGTCAGCTCTTGCAGGACAAGATCTGTCACATTTTAAATTTCTTACAGCATGGACTCAAATAACCCCGTGCAAATGTTACTGTCACCCGAAGCAAGAGTAGGTTCTCTCCAACATTCCTCAGGCAACCCTTTCATGTAGCAACAGGTAGCAGTGCATGTAAATGTCAGTCATAGTATCTTTGTCTTGGATTCTATTATTTTATCTTGCTTTGTAATTGCAAATGAAACTCGTCCTTTCCAAGGTACAGTAAGCTTGATGGCGATAAAGTGGTGTTGGCTGCAATTCTTGTGAGTCGGAGTCCGCTTGTGATGATGCATAAATCATTATGATAACTAGTGCTAGATAATGGAATCGGCCTTGAGGGGAGTGGGAGCAGGCAGGGCCAGGCTAGCACAGCCCTGTTCTGCAGGTAGAGGAGTTGATTAGGGCCTTAAAATGTCAGGGGCCTCACTGCAGTTTCAGATTTGGCGCCTTTAACTTGTAATGTCCTTCTTCAGCCATAGGTAATGAATCCTAGTTATCTGTGATCATGTCTAATTTATATAGTATGTACAATAGGTTGTTATTTTGCATACAAATCATTTTGGGGTTGCGGAGCAAGAGAAACACTGAAGGTGGAAAAGAAAGAATAAATTTTGATAGTCATACGTTTTCTTATCTGATTTCAGACTTTCTGAAGCCTTAAAGGATTATCAAGATGTGTTATTTTTAAAATTTGGCATTTACTTTTTGGCATTTTTAATGGATAATCGAAATTGTAATTTAAATCTTAATGTGTTAGTCACTAAACTGTATTTAACTGTCTAATAAAGTTGCTGAGTTCATTTAGCAATGTGAAACACCTAAGAATCTAGCAGTACAAACAACTGTTTATTTGGTAGTTATATGTTACAAGATTTTCCTTGTACCTAAAAGTGGAAGAGTAATGCATCTGAATAGATAGTAACAACAAGTGAATTCTTATTTGCTTGAGACTAGGCTGGATCATCACTGTTTTCCAATTAGACTAGTTCACACTAATAGCATACAGTTGCTTCAGTGAGTCTCGATACCCTGCTTTCTTATTCCTGGCATCTTCCTTTAAGTCACATGTTTCAGGGGCTACTCCATTTTAAAGGTTTTGGATAAGTTTACATGATTGATAGATAAGATGAAATGAAACCAGAAACGATTCATCAGTAAAAGGCATTTGTTTTTTTCAAGTGATGTCTGTCGAGACCAGGGCCAGCTCCATGGGTGTGTGACTTGTGCAGTTGCACAGGCCCGACTTTCAAAGGGCCCCTGACTTAGTTGGGCCTCGTACTTTGATGCTCTGCTGTCACTGTCTTGAAATAGTTTTTTTTTAAACAGGAGCCTTGAATTTTTATTTTGTACTGGCCCAGTATACATATTATGTCCCAAACAAAGTCACCAACGGGCATTCTGACATAATGCAGGCTGATGCACAGTCAGCCCATCTGAATAGCAGAGGTTAAAGCTAAGAAATAAGGCCAAAGGCAAATTCAGGTCTTCTGCTAATAGTCAGGTTGTATGAAATAAGATCAAGCAAAAATCCAAACTCCTTTCCATGACCCTTAAGACCGCACTTAATCTAGACCCTGCCTGCCTCTCTAAGGTTACCTCCAATCCATCTCTGCATTCACACGCTCCAGCCACGCTTCTGGCTGTGCTGTAGACACCCCAGATTCACGTTGCTGCCTTGAGACCTTGTCTCCGCTGGGAATGCTTTATCCCTCAGTTTCTCCTCTGGCTGAAACACCACTACTCAGTCTAAATTAGCACTCCTCTGTCCAGTCACATTTGATCGCATCATGTTTTGGTATCTGCAAGTTAGTTCACTTTGCTGTTTTTTATTGTTAGTTCACTTTCCTTTTTTTATTGTTCTTCTCCAACACAAGAATGTAAATACTGCAAAAGCAGGGGCCTTGGATTGTTCAGCGTAGTAACTCAAGTACGTGGCCCAGTGCCTGCACATGATTGTTCTGAGTGTCTGGTGGGTGAGTGCGTGAGTGTGGCGAGAAGAAGGGAGTCACGTAGCCTAAGGAAACTTCCAAGAACAGTGAGCTGTTGCTCTGATGAAGATCTCATGTTTCAAAAGGTCTAGGGCTCCTTTGAAGCTCTCCGATGTGTCCCACAGGACTGGGCTGTGTGTTACAGGCAGATGCTACGTGTCCAGCCCAGGACACAGGAGCAGCATTCCCGAACTGTTTGGATTCCTGAACGGGAAAAAATGCACTAGTGGCTGGAAAATTCCCTGTGGGTACAGAATGAAGGAGATAGTAACAGAGCCCTTTGATCTTTTATAATTCGATTTCTTGAGACTTTAGAATCATTTTTTAAAAATCAAGTAAAGTCTAGACCAGGAAAGGGAGTTATTCCTGATTTTTGCCAATGTTCTTAAAAACTGTAGGGTTATCTAAATAGCTGATGCTATCTTGAAGAATCTCGGATGTGACAGAGTGTACACATTACCAGTTTCTAAACACTTATTTCTTGTCACTTCAAGTATAATTCTGAATCTATAGGCCTAACTTTATACAAGCAATATTTACATTTTTAATATTAGTTTCAGTGAGTCTCTAAATGGTATGTATTTCTAACTTGTCCGTCACAGGATCCACACAGATTATCTGTTGGGTAGCAGCACCTCATGCACTCGTCCTCTCATGAACCGACCATAATGTAAAGTTTCACTACACGGGGACTCTTTTATCCTCCCCTCAAGTTCCTCCCAAAAGGCCTGACTGTAGGCTACCCCCTTCCATTCATGGGCCAGACCAGAGGTTTTAAAAAGAAATTCAAAAAGAAAATACTCCACTTGTGGGGGAAAGAACAACTGGGGGACTTGTTTAATAAACCCAGAATAGAGGGTTTTTAAAAAATCTTTGATTTTCCTCTCTTTTTTCTTTTATTTAACTTATTGGGATGACACTGGTTAACAAAATTGTACAGGTTTCAGGTGCACAACTCCACAACACATCATCTGTACACTGTCCTGTGTGTTCCCACCACGCCAGGTCAGGCCTCCGTCCATCACCACTTAAAGTTTTATCAGTAAAAACTTTGATTTTTATTTATCAATAAGATTTTTGTTGAGCCAAAAAGAACCTGTAGAGGTCATTTTATGAATGATCTTCTCATTCTGCACATGAAGAAATGGCAACAAAATCTGGGCTACTTGGCAGCAGAAATGGAACTCAAACTCGGGTGTCTTAGCTTTCAGAACAGTGCTCTTCCTGATGCAATGCACTGTCTCTCCTTCCTTCCTTCCTTCCTTCCTTTCTTCTTCTTTTTTCAATGAAAGGTAACTGTTTATTACTAAAGAAGAAGAAATGTATACAAGAAAGTCCAGATTATTTTTCCTCATGCACTACTTTTGTAATAAAGTTCCAAATATCAACTTTGAGGGTATTTAGAAGGATAAATATTTTTAAACATGTAACCATTTCCTGTGCGGTGGCATTTTTAAAAATATTAGAAATCATATACTTAAACTAAATAAATTCTTTTATAGTTTACAAGAAGCTTAGGACATTATATTAACAGAAGACAATATACTTCACTGCAAAATATTATAAAAGTGATACAATTTTGTGGCTCTAAATGTTTAATTACTTACTTTGAACAAATCAGTGTATTGAAAAAAAATCAGCAGAAAAATCAAGACAGGCGTGGCTTTAAGTTGTTTTTTTGTATCTGATTCATTCTTTCACATCATCTCCAACTAGCTAATGAGCATAAGTGACTACTGTAGAAGCCTGGGTATCCCTCCACACAGGTAAAGGAATGTTTGTTTCCAAGGCATTCCACGCTTCACTGGCAGAACCTGGGGTAATGTAGAATTTATTTTCATGCTCAGATGCTTCACATTAGTGTGTGTGTTCTGAGACAAGAAGGTCCACATCAAACAGCCACTGCACCAGGGCTACGCTGGCCGTATCTCCCCAAGGAATACCGCAGTGTTCATGGAGCAAAGCCGTTTTGAACCGCCTCACAGCCACAACTTCCTGTCCTGGGTCATTCGGGTTCTCATCGTGGTCTCCTCTCACAATGGGAACCTCACCAGCCAGAGTCCTCAGACAGTCATAACACTCTCTGGTGAAAAGATTCCTAGTGCAGAGAGCATGCTGATCATTCCTGGCGACAGCGGGGTTTTGAACTTCGCCGGCAAACGTTGCCCTGGTGAGGGGTGTGCAGGGCTCCGAACACCAGCACCAGCATCCTGTCACTGGGCTCCCCGCAGTGCGCTTTCAGATACGGAGCCAGCGGCAAGGAGAATTTCAAAGTGTCCTTTCTTTTTAAACAGAATGATTTCAGGTGAAATTAACATTAAATACTGGAATTAATTCTTCCATTTATTCATTAGCATTGTGATTTATCCTTTCTGTAAACCCTTTGCTCTCATATTAGTAGGCTCTTTCAAGGATAACAAGATACAAGCCAAGGTCAAACTGTCATTTTTAGCAGAAAGATTTTTTAAAAAATTTTAACTTTATTAAGGTATAATTGATTTATAACAAGCAACACCTATTTAAAGTGAAACAGTCTGGTAAGTTTTGACACGTGTATTCATTTGTAGAACCATCACTGTTGCCTACTATACTTATGAAGAAGCAGACTCAGAAAAGCAGACTCAGAAAAGCTCACGGGTCCATTTGGGGCCCAGGTGTATCTGATGTCAGGGCCCACGCTCCAGTTCCCCGGCCTGGATTCTAGCTGGGAAGCAGCCACGGCCGGGGAAAGTGCACATCTCCCTGACTCTAGCTGCTGGTTTCTTTAGTAACAGGGCTGTGCTACATAATCCTAAAATCGTTTTTAGCTTTAAGTTTGTATATTACATTCATATTTCTTATGCAGACATGGTGAATCTCTGTTCAAATTTTTTTTTAATCAAATGCAATCACTATTCTCTGTAATTTTCCTAGTGGAGTTATAAGAGTCATTAAAACTTTTTTTTATTTTGGTAGGAAAATATTGAAGAAGTTCGTGGAGTACTATGAGTCAGAGTAATCTAGGATCTGCAGGAAGTCCCTCAAAGTAGTTGGGGAGACAACAGGAATTTCTGTTTTCTCCAACAGTGTGTTGTATAATTATTCTGCAGACGTTCTGACTATGAACTTCCTAGCCCTGTGCTCACAAGAGACATCTCCCTCAATCTTTTATTATTATGTGCTTTTTAAGCTCACTCATGGTAGAAGCTCTAGTAGTTACCTAGAGCTTACCTGTAGTCTTCACTCCTGTCAGAAAATGCTGATTTCATGTAGGTATAGATGTTGATAATGAGATAGTTATATTCCTATACTTGTATCTATTTATCTACAGAACTATCTTTCCATTCCTCAGACAACTATGAGCAATGACTAAAATGACAGAGCCTAAAATAGTTGAAAATATATCTATCTAACATCTACACGTAAATATATGTAATGTTTTTATGCAAATTTTAAAGCAAATTTGACTGTTCGGAAACATGATTATTTGTTTTCTGCTTCCCCAGTGTTAGGAAAAGAAGAATTTAGACTCTTCGTCAAGATTTTCATTTACACGACCGTTAAATGCAAGACTGCTGTGGTGAGACCATGAATAAGAATACATCTGCTACAGTGCCATCCGGTCTACTCGAAAAGTAATCGTTAAATCCAATTTAGTGCGCTCTGGACGGTAACAGTTTGAAATACGTGCAATATTAATGAATATTCGGTGAAAGTTTTATGCAGCTAACAACCTATGATAGTCTAGGATAGCAGTAATGAGAAGTTTATCAGAAATCACCTCTCGATGTAAATAAGTGTATAGGGCAAATTCTGCATTCTCTTTTGGAATTATTTTTTGAGATTTCTTTATAAAAATTGATCTAATTTTTGAATATCTAAAATATGTTGATGATTTCAGTATAACATAATATTAATTTTGCTGAGTAACAAACTGCCCCCAGTGCCTTAGAAATGCAAGCTTTTATTCTTTCTTATGATTTTGTGGTTAATTCTTCTGGTCTGCACTAAATGATGTAGGATGGCCCCATTCACAAAAAGGTAGCATATTATATATATTGTTTTGACCTTGCCTTTTTTTTAACTTAAAATTATATCCTGATGATCACTTCATATCAGATTATACAGATCTTCCTTGTACCTTGTTATAATTGTATAGTATTTTAGCATGTGGATGTACCATAGTTTATGCAGCCAGTACTTTATTGATGGACATTTGAATTTTTGCTGAAATGAATAATCTAGCATCAAGTCATTTCATATTCTTTGCCAGAGCATCTTCGGTATAGGTTATAGCATTTTGTACTTCTTCCAACAGCGTACAAGAGAACCTGTTTCCCCCCAGCCTCGTCATCAGAGTGTGTTGTCGAAGTTCCACAGTTATGTCAATCCAGTAGGTGAATAGCATTAGCTCTGCCTAGTTTTAACTTGTAATTTTTTTATTACAATTAAAGTTGAGCAGCAGAACTATCTTTAATAGCAAAAAAAGTAATATAAATCCTTTACAATAGGGGAATTTAAAAATAGGGTCCTCCCAGCGATACCGTGTTGACAATAGATACTCTGTTGGGATTAGAAAAAGAAGGATCCTCTACTGAGACAATAGTATATGCCAGAGCTTATGTGGGTTCCCATCAAAGGAAATGCACATTTAGAAATGACTGGAGGTGCCTCATGAGATACCTTATTTCTCTCCTTTATCACTTCCCCTTATGAGCTTCCTTCCTTTATGCCCCTATAACCTGAGATCCCATCAAAAATGGTCAAGGCTCCGAAATCCATTGCAGTAGAACCTTCTGGACTCAGTCCTTTCCTTTTTAAGCTATAAACAGATAGGCCTTCGGACGCTAGAGCTGAATTCAATATAATGCAACCCTAAATGATTTCTTTCTTCATTTTTTTATCATCTAAATTTGAGTACAAGTTTTCTTAAAGATATAGAGCAGGTCCTCAAAGAACATCATTTTGTTCAACATCATTTTGTTATGACGTTGATGAGATGCTGTAGGAACTCTTGTTTATATCCACTAACCCATGGTAAGATTGGCTTCGTTATATGTTGTTTTCATTCAAGTCCCAGAACCTGTCAGTGATGTTTAGTGAGGACTTAACTATAGTAGGAATTTCTATGGCAGAAATTAAGAAAGCTTTTTCTAAAAGCTATGATTGTCTGTAAAATATGAAGTAAATAATTGTTTTATTAATAGCTTCAGTTCATTGATATGTTTGAAGAGAGCTGGAAGTCCTGTGTTCAACAGTGGCTTTAACACACCAGTGACTTTAACACACCAGTGAAGCAGATCTGCCACATTTTGCCTCTGGAGTAAGACGGACTGGTGCGTGTTGCCGTCCTCCAGTTTGGCAACCACAGGCCACCAGCTTAGCTTTTCCAGGTTTTCCTTCCTTTACAAAAAGGAGGGTAATGATCTTAGGAATTTTATAAATGCTAAATTGAATGGCGTAACATATATGTATTATTTATCACAATACCCAGCACAGAATAAATAACTAGGCAGCCCTAAGCCTTATGTCAAACTTTATTAACCAGTAAAAGTAAATGCTCTGTCCAAAGTGTTCAAAAACCTAACTTGGGAGCATAGCGCTCACAGAATTCTTTGGACAAGTTCTTCTTTTCTGATGGCATTGCTCTTACGTCTGGCAGAAACTACAGCTAGAGCAGGTGCTTTGTGCCAGGAAGATAACCTTTCCCAATTAAAAGGATATTTTTTGGCAACTCAAAGGGAGGTGATATTTATTTTGTTTTAAATGGCCATACACTTGTCTTTTAAAGTCACTTACCTAACTCATGAAAATATTTATATTGGAATTCTTCAGTGTAGTCTGAAAAATCAGTAAAACTAGATCTTTTTAGTCACTTCTAAAACATTTTGAAATGTATCTCAGTTTATATCAGTAATATCTTAAAAGTATTTTTCTTTGTTCTCCAAAGAAGTAAGCACTATTGCTGTAATTTCTTTTATGGTTTGGTTGTTTCATAAAGAAAATTAAAAATACAGGTAAGAAAATCCATCTGATTGCTTTTGTTTCATGACACTTTTAAAAATGTAGTTGCTAATATGTACTGAGGACTTTGAGTTATCTAGATCTAAGAATTTGATTTAAAACATGGTTTAAAGAAAAGTAGGCTCTCTAGGCTAACCTGTGAATGCTAATTTCCTTTATCTTAGGGATCCTGCCTTTCAGATGATTACAGTTACCAAGGAAACAGGCCTTGGTCTGAAGATCCTAGGAGGAATTAACCGGAATGAAGGTCCCTTTGTGTATATTCAGGAAATTATTCCTGGCGGAGACTGTTGTAAGGTAAAAATGAAAAAACAAACAAACAAACAAACCCCTTCACCAAAAAAACAAAACCACTAATGACGAGGTTTGTTTTCTAGCTCATCAGTGTGTTTTTAGTATGAGCCCAATGTCCGTTCACTGTGACCATTTCTCAGTGAAAGATACCAAGGTATTGAAAAATAGACTTTTACCCTCAAAGACCTTAAACCTAAGAAGTATGAAATAAATGTGAACATAACAGACTTCAGGCTCTAATTAAAGGTTGTATCTTTTTCATTGTTATAAGCTGTTCAACTCTTATCCTATTTTTGGTTGAGAAATTGTATTTGGAGACATGTTCTCTATCCACTTCCCTGAGTATGGATTAAGTTGGGTCACTTAAACTTGAACTGTATTAGTTTAGCTTCTCCTAAACAGAAAACAAAATAAAAACACTCAGAAATTAAATTCACTCATTTCTGAATTTAGAGTAATTCTTCTTGAGTTTGCTAATTATATCACTAGTTGTTCACATGAGAAATTAGATTTAGAATTAAAACTAGAAAATATCCTTTTTTAGGAATTATCAGGCTGGCCAAAAAGTACATTTGTTTTTTTCTGTAAGATGGCTCTAGTAGCACTTAGTTGTTTTTAACTTCATTTGAAACAATTTTGCTAGATTGTGCTGTGACACTGTCATATCATAGTGCATTTTAAAAAAAACTTCCCAAAACTGGTAAATTTTTGTGTAGCCATTTTAATGGAAGAAGATGGAAGAAAATATGCAATACTTTTGGCATATTATGCTTTATTATTTCAAGAAAGGTAAAAACACAATGAAACATATGAAAAAAGATACATACAGTGTGTGGAGAAGGTGCTGTGACTGATCAAGTGTGTCAGAAGTGGTTTGCAAAGTTTCATGCTGGAGATTTCTTGCTGGACAACCCTCCATGGTTGGGTATACCAGTTGAAGTTGATGGTGATCAAACCGAGATATTAATTGAGAACAATCAACATTATACCACGCGGGAGATAGCAGACATAAAATATGCAAATCAATAAAGTTATTGGTGAAAATGAAAAATATGTCTTTTATTTTATAGAAAAAAGCCATATGAACTTTTTGGCCAACCCAATAGAAGGTCTTACTCTTCTCTTCCATGTAAGAAATATATAAAGCATGAGTTCCTTTTTCCTCTGGCTGCTAGGTAGCTCAGACCCAAATTTGACGTGCAATACCAGCAATTTAGTTAATACACTGATTACTGTTTGCATTCTCATTTCTCTTGGATTTAATTGCCGTTTTGATTGTTTTATTAATGTGATTATGTATGTCTTTCATTGAATATTGCCTCCGCTACTTTCTGGAAATATACAGGATATAAAGAACTTAATATAATACCAAGCTGCACAGTATGAGAAAGGATTCTCTTATTAGTTTTGTTCATGTTGTTTTCTTATTCTACTTGTTTTAGTTGAATAAATATACTACTTTTACCCCCATTCCTACCCCAGACACTTGTTTAGCAAGCAGTTTATCTATTCTAGATTTTTTCTTTGTTAGGAAAAAATATTGGTTTTAGTAATAACTTCCAAAATAATAGAAATGATTTTGTTTTGGATTTGTTGAGATAGTAAGGTATCTTCCAAATACATGAATTGTAAGTATACACAAAGTTTTTGATATTATAATGATATAAATTTTTGGCTATCGAATTTAAATTATTAACCAAATAGAACATGCTTAAATGCCAAACTTAAATTCAAACAAAACTGAAATTTTTCTTGTAAGCATTGAAATTGTTTCGTATTCAGTTTGGAAGCTGAGGCGGGTGTGTGTGTGCGTGTTCAATATAGCTAAGGTATTTCTTAAACTGCACTTGATATAATGCAGTAATAGATCACAGTACCTAACAAGTGATAAGAGTTTGCTTTTAAGACAAGCATCGATTTGTGCTTTTATAGCCCCATGAAAAATATTTGTAATTAAAGTAATAAATCGATGGCAGTGTGCTGAGTGACTCTTAATCAGCTGTCATTAGTAGCAGACTAAGAATTTACACTCATGATATATACTTTCTCTTACTGGTTTTCTTACAACTTTGTTGTTTGAAAGAGTATTAAAAAGCAAAACCCTGTAGTGAACTATATATTGTGTGTTTACCACTAGAGAGCAGCAGAGAGTTATTAATGTTCTTTGATTATACTGGTCCTGCCCTAGAGAAGAGAATGGCCGAAATAAAGAAAGCTGTAGACAGAGAGTAAATAAGTTTGCGATGCTTACATTTATTTTTGTGTACTTCCCCATGATAGAGAGTTATGGGCATATTTACTCTGCAAATACAAATGGATGCTATTTTATTTTTTAAAAGTTTAACAGTAATAGCATGTACTGTGTTCTAAATACTGTGTTAGAATGTTAATAAATTCCTAACCTGCACAAAATTTTTGTATAGTGGGAGTATTCAGAATAGGAAACACAGGCTGTAAGATTATCCTTTTTAAGTTGCTGAACTGAGCAACTGTTAATATTTTTAAATGCATGTATGTGCTTCGACTATCTCTAATTTTAACATATTGTTTCAGAACTAACTGTACAGACAATCTCAAAATTATAGGTGGATTATATTACATTTATATCCCTAAACTTCATATGTTAGGGAATTACTGGCACTCACGGTTAGCTGCTGCCGCTGCCTCCACCCCCACCCTCCACCCCATAGACACACACCAGAGCTTTTGACAGAGCAAATACAAAATGCAATTCTGGTTCACTAACAAAAATATTATGCTTCTTTGAAAAATGTATTCAGAGTTCAAACTTGTGATATCTTGGAAACATATTTCCAGTTCAAGTAGGAGAGAAGATTATCCCAGCTCTAAGAGCTGTAGGCACCCTATGGTCTGAAAACACATGTACTGGGTACTGAGTTAAGGAAATATGAGAACGCCAAGACCCCTTTCATCTCACCAGCTAGTCCTTGTCAGTCTGGAGTCATCAATGCTGATCTTCGACCCTTTCTGGCAGAGCCACTCCTTGAAGCTTCAGACCGAGGCATACCGCTGCCTCATCAACATTCCCACTCAGATCTCTTAAAGAATCTCAAACTCAACATATTTGTAACAGGACTCAGAGTCGCCACACCCTCACCTGCCTGTCTCTTCCAGACAAGCCCTCTTCCAGTGTTTCCAGTCTTGGTGAATGATACCTTCTAGCTGCACAGTCAAAAAAAACGAACGGCATCCTAACTACTACCTCTCCCTTAATACCCATATCCAATTCATTTGCACATACCGTTGACTTGTTACTCTCTCTGTATTTCTTGAACCCACCCATGTTCTTGGTCTCCACTGCCTTCACCGTAGCTTAAACTGCCATCGGTTTTTATAGTCCTCACAATAGCTCCGTCTGTTTCTATGCACCGTGCCCATTTTCCTCCCAACCGAGCTTGCAAACACTCAGTTGCCTACAAGGCTCTGTATTCAATAAAACGGGACTTCTGCTTTTGACTTCCCTGGCTGTTAGTCTCTGTGCTTCCAGAGTGACAATCTTTCGGTTGCTGGAGGGACCCAAGTTCATTCTCATCTCATGCACATTCTCTCCGACTGGGAACAGCCCCCATGCCCTCCACCCATGCTTTCTTACTGCTTCCAGATATCAATTCAAAGACCACTTTTCTAAGAAATATGCTCCCTGCCCTCACCCCCAGGTTTTTTATTCCTACCTGTGCTTCTGGATCCTGTTGCTTTCTTTCATCTCTCTCAGTTTGGAATCATAAACTGTTATCTGTGATTGGTTTATTAACGGAGCCACAAGACGATATGTCTCCTGAGTGCAAGGATCCTCCCTGATTTTATTCACAATACAATTCTTAGCCCTTAGTGTGGTGCCTGACACATACTTATTGCCCAGTTAGTGTTTATGAGTGAGTAGATGATGCCTTAGTCAGTCTGTCACGTTTCGGAGACTTACTGGTCCGTTTGCCATTGCACTGCCACCATCTGGGCTCAGCACCGAGGTACCTGCTCCCTGGCCCTTTGGGTCAGATTGTGGATAACACGGAAGTTTTTTAATGTTTTCAGTTTGTTTCTTTGTTTGCCTGCTAATAATGTTAGGAAAGCAGGCAGGAATCAAATGCTTTTCTTCAAACCTGATACATTATTATTATTATTTTCTCCCTCCCTCCCTTCCTCTGAAATAGAGATGAGTCTTATAATTGATATTATAATGTAATTGGCAGCATTGTTTGCTCATAATGATGCTTAAAATAGTGGCATATCTTAACAATTGATGTCGTTTTAGATTTGATAAAAGCAGGACTCTTTTTGTCAAACCCCGTAGATACAGACGAAGATCACAGAAATACAGGTACTAATGGTTAGCCGTCATTCACGAAGGATTGAAGTAGGGCATTGTTGAGTCTCACAGGAAGTCTATTTGCAGAGTCTGCTGGGCCTGTCACGGGAACTGGGATCAGGGCTGTTTAGACAGACAGGCCATCGGCCTCTGGAGGGCAAAGGGTAAAGAGACCAATCCCACTGGCGGAGCTAAAGGAGTAGCATCCAGGAGGGTTCACTTTGCAATGCCACACTCTCTGTCCTCCTTTTCCATCATTATTTCTGCTAAAGCCACCTTAATTTCCTCTGTTTCCTGGACCTGTTTAATTTACTGTGCACGTATTATGTACCTGGCACTGTGCTGGGGGAAACAGCCATGAAAAGGGCTCAGGCTGGCCAGCTGAGAACCAGTGCAGCTTGTCTGAGAGGTGCTGAGTTACTATGCTCCCATGCAGCGGTCCCCAGACTTTTTGGCACCAGGGACCAGCTTCATGGAAGACAGTTTTTTCCATGAGCCTGGGTGTGGGGGTGGGGAGACCAGAGGCAGAGCTCAGGCGATGCTGCTGCTGCCTTCACTGATGGATGGGGAGGAGGGAGACTGGGGACCCCTGCTCTAACGGGGAGGGGGCGGAGGGTATAAGGAGAGTAAAAAAATAAGGACAGCATAAGGTAAATGCAATCATATAGGTAATTAAAAC